TCTTTCCTGCCCTCCCCCCTTCCCCCCCCCTCCCCACGACACCCCCCGGGGACCAGCACCTCACCCGACCCCCACCCCGGGGTCCCCCCCATCCTGTCCATATTTAAGCCCCCCCCGCGCGCTCCCGGAGCCAGTAAAGCCCGATCCGAGCTGAGCCCCCCGCCTCTGCTGTCATCTGTTTTTTTTTGGGGGGTGGCACAGACCCATAGCCCCCCCCAGTGCACCTTTACCCCCCAAAAAAGCCAAAAACCACCTCCCCAAAGTGCCCCCACCCTGGGGTGCCGGGCAGGGCACTGCGCCGAGGAAGCTCACAGCACCGGGGGGGGGGTTGTATATTTTCTATATATCCATCAGGCCGTTCCTGCGGGGAGCGATGGCTTTATTTTTATTTTTTTGGGGGGGGACACACACAGCACTCGTGCCACCGCTGGGGAAGGGGACAGGGGACAGGGACACGGGCTCTGGTCCCCAGGTGTTGGGGGGGGGGGCGGTGGGAGGGAGGGGAGGGAGCCGCAGCCCCCAGCTGGGGGGGGCCAGGGGCTGAGTCCGTGCTGGGCCCCCCCCTGCGAAGCCAGGGAGCCCTGCAGGGAGGGAAAAGCCCTTTTTTTGGTCTTTTCTCCTTTTTTTTTTTAACAGCACTCAAAGATGAAAATTCGATGCCTTGAGCCCTTGGGGGCAGTGCAAGCATCCCCGGGGGGGGCCCTCAACAAGACACCCCCCCTATTTTTGGGGTCCCCCTCCGGCCTCAGAGCCAGCCCGGGAGGGGGCGATGGACCCGTCGGCAGCCCCGAGGGGGGGGGCCCAGGGAAGCGGCGGCTCCGTGCTGGGGCTGGAAGGAGAGGGGGGGACACGCAGGGGGCTGCTGCGCCCCCCCCCTCAATTCTTCAGGATGGTGTCGTAGGCCTGGAACACGTGCTGGGAGACCTCGGGCGCTCGGCATTTCAGGGAGAGCTGGGGAGAGGGGGTTCAAAAATAAGGGGGGGGGGATTATGGGGTGCCGGAGCTCAGGCTGCACCCCAAGGCTTGGGGACAGCCCCCAGGGTGGCACCAGCCCCCCCCAGCCACGAAAAAGGCAGCGAGGATGGGGACAGGGGGCTGCACCCGAGGGATTTTTGGGGTTGGGGGCTCTCTGCGTCCCTCTGCCGCGGCGAGGGCGACCCTATAGGGACCCCGCGTGTCCCCCCCAGGGGAATGGGGGCGGAGGGGGGGGGTGGGGGGGCGTACCGTGAGGGTGGGGTTGCTGGGCTGGATGCGGAGCTCGGCCAGCACCCAGATGCCGTTGGTGAGCTTCAGGGACTGGTAGAGCATGTCCTGCCCCTCCACCGTCCTCTTGGCGATGGTGAAGATGTTGCTGCCTTGCAGCTTGCTGCTGGCGGCGTCTTTGGGGGACGGGGGGGGGGGACAGAAAAAGGCTCAGCACCAGCTGGGGGCTTGAGAGCCCCTTGAGAGCCCCCGGGGAGGGTTCGGACCCACCTGCGCCAGGGAGCAGTCCTTGATCTGGAACTGGGCTTCGTTCTCGTTGGGGATGTCCTTCCAGGTGGCCAGGAACATCTGCCGCTCTGCAGCCACCACACCACCGGGTTTTGGGGCCACCAGAGCATCCCGGCTCCCCCTCCAGCCCCCAGCCTCTAGGTCAGGCTGTGCAGCCCCCCCAGGGCCGAGGGGAGCACCCCCCCCGAGACCAACCTCACCCACCTTGCTCGGGATGAGCGGTGGGCCCCAAAGCCCCCTCGGCACCACAGATTCCCATGGGATTCCGCTTTTTGGGGGCTCCCACGGCTGGGAACGGGGCCGGGAGGATTTGAGGAGAAGGGGGGTGAGCCCCCGTGCCCCCACTCACCCATCTTCCCTCCTCCACGAAGAGGATGTGCAGGGGTAGAGGGTGCTGAAGTAGAAGACGTCGATGTTGTTCTTCACCGCCACCTGGGAAGGGGAGGACACGGGACATCAGCACCGCTCTGACCCACAGCAGGGCCCCAAAATCAGCCCCTGGGGAGAGGGGAAAAAAGAGCCGGGGTGCCCCCACCTGCAGGTTGTTGAGGGGATCCATCTTCATGACGGAGCCCACCGTGTTGAGGGGCAGCGAGATCTCCACCGACTGGTTGGGGGCCAGCGGCGCGTGGACCTGCAGGGGGGCGGCCGGGGCCAGGCCGAAACTGGGAGGGGGGGGGGACACGGGGAGAGGTTTGGGGGGGGTGTCAGGGCAAGGGGGGTCCCCTGCCGCTCTGGGACCCCCCCCAGCTCAGCTCCTTGCACCCCAATCCCCTCCAAGACCCAACCCGTTCCTGCTCTGCCCATCCTGGGGCAATGGAGGGGCCCCCCAGCCCGGCACCCACCCTTCTCCTCCAGATTTCTGCTGATTTTTGGTGCCCCCCCACCAGGAGCAACCCCTGGACGAGTGTTGGCTCCCCCAGGAGAACAAACGAGGACACCCCACACCCAAATTGCCGTCGTGCCCCGGGAACAGCCTCCTCAGACAACTTCTCAGAGGCTTCCCTTGGCCACCATCACGTCAGGGCCATCAGGGAGGGAAGGGTCATCAGGAGAGGCCGTTCCCGGGGGGGCTGCCACCCCCAAGCCCCCCCACCCCCAGCAGCCCCCCGCCACCCCCTACCTGTTCGGTTGAACTGGATGGCGAAGTCGACATGACCTGCAGGGCTTTGTTGGTCAGCACCAGGTCCATGGAGATGGAGCCCACCTGGCGGCTGAAGGTGCCGGAGATCTCCAGCCCCTTGGCTTTCATGGCAGGGAGCCACACCTGGGTGGAGAGGTGGAATCCGTCTGGTTTTACCCCAAAATGAACGTTTCGGTGAGCAAGCCAGCCTGGGCAGCCAGACTCACCGATTTGGGAGCCACGTAGGAGCCTGACAGGGTCCCCACGCCGCCGGTGAGGTCGAAGAGGTCCCCGAGGCCGCTGCCGAGGGGCGCTCCCATGCTGGCCGGCACCGCGGGGCCGGGTGCCGCGAAGCCACCGCCGCCTCCCATCTGTGGGGGACAAGAGAGAGGTCAGGGGACACCGGGGGAGGAGGAGGAGGAGAAAAAAAAGAGGAGGAGGAAGAGGAAGATATCAGGGGCGCGAGGGCACTCACGGCGGGGCTGCCTCCCACATCGCTGCGCAGCTGCAAGAGACAAGAAAGCGCTGTCGGTGCCGAGGGGCCCCACAGGGACACCCCATAACGGGCACTCCCAAAAGCTTTGGTGTGGGTGAGGGAGGGCTCGGGTCGCTAGGGCTCCCCACGCACGCCGAGAGGCAGAGGGGTGAAGGCTGAGGGCTTCGGGGGCTGGCTGTCCCCAGGGGTCCCCAGACGCGGCGGGGGCAGCTCCGCACCCAGCCCTGGGGGCAGGGGGCTGCGGGGGTGGGCAGGGGGCTAGAGGGGTAAGAAAAGGGCCGGTGCGTACCCCTTCCGACTCGTCCCCCATCTCCAAGCAGAAGCAGGCAAGGCGGAGAGGAGAGCCAGGCGCATGCAGAGAGAAGCCAAGAAGAGAAAAAAAAAAGAGAGAGAGACAGGAGATAGGAGCCCTGCTCCAGCTAGAGGTTAATTAGCACCCCTCATCAAGCCCAGACGCCTCCAGGTGAAGACAAACCCACCCCCAGGAGCCCCCACATCCATCCCCGGGGCAGGAGCACGCGGCACGGCGACCCACCAGGCTGTCCAGGCCCCCTCCCAGGAGGTCCACGGCACCCATCTGCACGGAGGAGGCGGGAGGGGGGCCCGCTGACCGGGGGGCCCAGGTCCAGGTTGAGCAGATCTCCCAGCAGGTCTCCCTGCGCGGGGATGACGGCCGGCTGCTCCGCCCCTGCCCGCCGAGGGGCTGCCTCGGGGCTCTCGGCGCTCTCGCTCCTGCGGGGAAGGACAAGGGTGGGATGCTGGAGGGCTCTGCTGGAGCCCCCGGGGCTGAGAGCCACCCTGGTGGGCTTCGGGGCAAGATGTCCCACCCCACAGAGCTCCAAACACCACCTCCCACCTAAAACCTCAGATCTGCAAGCTTAGGACAGCACAGAGTCCACCCTGCTCCTACAGGGAACCCCCCCCGTAGGGATGCCCACCCTACCCAGCCCCGCTGTGACCACATTTGGGGCAGCCAGCCCAGCTCGGCGTCCCCCCCCCTAATCCCACCACCCGGCTCTGGACTTCCCCGTGGGCGTCGGGGCCAGCTGGCAGCGAGGAGGGGACACTCACGAGCCCGTTCGCGGGGGCAAGCTCTTGTGCACCACCCCTCGGCTCCCCTCCACGAAGGCGCTGGGCGGCTTGTGGTAGACGGAGGCGAGGGTCCCGATGTAGCAGATGAGCTCGTCCAGCAGCGTGGGCTCGATCAGGTCGGTCTCCTCGGAGATGAGGGGCTTCTCGGCCAGCACCACCTCCTTGGCGGCCACGGGGTCGGTGGAGAGCAGGCGCCAGTAGATGTAGCCGCGGTCCCGCAGGTCGGGGTTGTCCGAGTCCTGCGGGAAGCCCCCCGGGGGTCAGCGCTGAAATTTGGGGTAGGGGAAGCCGTGCGGGGAGCCGGTACCCACCTGCGTGGCCAAGCTCAGGACTTGCTGCACCAGCTCCTGGGTCTCGGTGGGCTTCTTCAGGAACAGCTTGACGATGGCCGTCAGCAGCTGCAGCTGGACCTGCGGGCACCAGGACAGAGGGACAGGCAGAGCAGGAAGGCGTGAGCTCCTTGAGCTCACATAATTTCTGTGATTTCCTTTGCAAAATCACCCGCCCCAGCTGAAGGGGCAGGCGCGAGCAGCCCCCCCAGAGCAGCTCCAAAGGGCAGACCCTGCGCTGGCACCAAGTGACGAGGGGAAGGTGCCCGGGGGGCGCTTCACAGAGAGTGCCCCACACCCAGCGCCGCACGAGGAGCTGCGAGGACACCTCCGGGACCCCGAGACACTCGCTTTGTCCCCAAAACCCCGCCACACCTGGGTGCTCTCGTCGTGGAAGCCCTCCAGGAAGCTCTCCAGCAGCTCGTCGGCGTTGTCGATGCGCTCGGCGTACTCGCCCACGATCCAGATCATGGCAGCCCGCGCCTCGGGCTCATCCAGGGAGTCGAGGTTCTCGCACAGGGTAGCGATGACGCTCTCGTACCTGCCGGGGCAGGGACAGCTCACCCCAAAGCCCCAGCTCCCCTCCCTCACGTCGCCCCGTCACCCGCAGCAGGGCTGTTCCTGCTGCTCCCACAAAGTTCCCCTTTTCCGACAGGAAGGCTCCGAGCAAGCAAAGGGGAACAAAAGCGACGCATCACCATCTGAAAATGGTTATTTGGCTCCTGGGAAGCTCACACTGCCTGTTTCTGTCCTGTAAGCATGCCTGTTGGCACCCGAGCTGCTTGCAGAACAGCTTTGCTTTTGGGATGCGTGGCCACTTTCAATTATCTGTGCCAAGAGAGCCCGTTTGGGTAATGGGAAGGAAGATGGGGGGATATATGGAAAACCCCGCTCTCCAGAATGAATTTTTTACAGAAGCCAAGCCAAGCACTGCGTGCACCATCGCTTTTGTATCCAGAGATGAACCCCAGACATAACACAGGGATGTTTGCTAAGCAAAACACACTCTGGGACACTGCCCGTGCCAGCCCCTTTGGAGAATTCACTTCTTGGCCCCGTTTGTCTGGTCCCCACCCTCTCCAAACCACTGGCTCCTGGCACAGACCGCTGGCTCGCTGGTTATCCCCGCGCTGGGAGCAGCAGGTTAGGGGCTGGGGGGAGCCCTGTCCTGCCCCTCGCCCCACGCACTTGTTGGGGTACTTGCGGAAGATGTCCTTGATGACGACGATGGCCTCCTGCACCACGTAGTTGACCTTGGTCTGGATGAGGTCCAGCAGGGTGCTGACGCAGCGCTCCGCCGATTGCTGTTGGGGGGGGGTTCGGTCAGCGATGCCCTCACACCCTCACCACACCCCTGCGTGCCCCAAACCCAGCGTGGAGCAGAAGGGACACACACACAGCTGCTGCCTCCCCTTTTTTGCGCCCCAAATCCTAAACCAGAGGGGCTGGGACGCGCTCCTTGAGCCCCACGGAACCGCTCTGAGCCACCCCCACGCCCCACCGAGGCTCCTCGGGGATCCTTTTTGGGATGCAAAGCCTCCAGCTCGCCCAGCACGAGCAGGATGCCTGCCCAGCAGCAGGACACACGGTGACCCAAAGGACAGCGTGCTGAGGTGCCCGTGTCCCCCCCCCACCAGCCTCACCTCCACCTTGATGGCGCAGCGGCCGATGGCTCGCACCGCCTTCCTGACGAAATCCACGTCCACCTCCGTGGCGTATTCCTTCAGCTCTGCCAGCACCTGCCGGGGGGGCGAGGATGTGAGCCCTCAATAAAGCCCCCGAGCCATGGATCCCCCCTAATGCAATGCCCCAAATCCCAGCTGGATGGATCGGGAATTTAACGGGGCAGCCACAGCCCCGCTGGTGCCGGAGCAGGGGGAAGAGTTATCGGGGTGGCCGAGGCCCCTCGTGCCCGCCCGCAGCCCGACCTGCGCGATGTTGGCCTGGGAAGCCAGGCGGATCATGATGTCCAGCTTCTCCAGCTTGACGTAGATGGGGTCGTTGTACTTGACGAAGAACACCTTCATCTCGTGCTTCAGGATTTCGGGCCTGGGGGGGGGGGGCAAGTAAAAGCAGTGATTGAGGGATCTGGCCCAGGTGAGCGGAGCTTGGAGCTGCCACAAGGCTCCGGGCCAGGAGGATGAGGCTGCCCGGCCATAAGCACGAGGTTTTGGGGCTGCTCAGTGCCCGGGACTTCAAGACACCACGATTTTCCCCTGGCAGCTCTCGCCCTCAGCTCCTCTTTGCGGACGCACGCCCGACCTTGCCGCAAATAAAGAGCAGCTGCAATGCAACAGGGGATGCTGGACAGGTCGGGAGGGACCCCCTGGGGGAGCAGGGCCACCAGCCCAGAGCCCAGGGCCAAACTGGCCCCTCCTCACCACACCAGCCCCAGAGCCGGGGCAGGGGGAAGCCAGGTCCCCGAGGAGCCGAGCTGCTGTCCGCACACCCCCTGGCAGGGGCGCTAATTGCTTTCCACCCCCCCCCCAAGAAGCTGCTGCTAATTTTAATAGGTCACAGCGGCGATGGGGCATCTGCCTGCAGCTCTCCAGCTGGCCCCGAGCACCATCACGGGGCCTCGGCCACCTCCTGCCCTCCGGCAACGTCACCTGGCCAAGGGACACGGGGACTTGGAGGACTCGGGACTCCTTCCAGGTCGGAAGGAGTCACAAAAACTCCTCGGCAGACTGAAACGACAGAACCAGCGCCTCGGGGGGGCTGGAGGACGGGGAAGGAGGGCACGCACCTCTTCTGCACGATGAGGTTGATGTTGCGGAGAGCCACGTACTGCAGCTCGGGCTCGGCGGACAGCAGGGTGACCAGCGGCGGGGCCAGCTTCTTCAGCAGCGTGCCGTAGTAGTCCAGGTCCTTGGAGAGCATCTCCATGAACTTCATCAGCACCTTCACCGCCGAGAGCACCACCGCCGAGTTGGCGTGGGACAGCCGGGGCGTCACCCGCTCACAGATGCTGGAAAAGGAGAAAAAAAAAAGAAAAAAAAAAGAGGGAAAGAGGCAGTGAAGGCAGTGAGAGCCCAGCGACCCACTTAAAACCCCAAGGAACGCCGGCAGCTTGCAGCACAGCAGGCGGCCACCACTGAAGATCCCCCAGCCTCCCTCACCTCTGCGCCTCCCGGTCGTCCTTGGGCATGTAGTTGGCCAGGCAGTCCAGGATGAAGATCTGGCCCCACTCGGTGCACTCGTTGAGGGCGGTGAGCAGCTTGTTGATGGACTGGGGGTTGAGGTCCAGCAGGTTGCTGCTCGGGTGCGACTCCGCGATCTCCGACAGCGCCGCCACCGCGTTGGCCACCACCTGGGGAGGGGACGGGGACACCCGATGGGAACAGAGCCGTGCGGAACGCCCCCGGGGGGGAGGCTGCTGCGGGAGGAGGATGAGCTGCATCCTCGGCGTGGGCCCCCCGCTACCGACATCTGGGCGCCAGGCTCCCCCCGCCTGGGGGGTCGGGCTGCTCGGCGAGCTGTGTGGGCAAACCCCAAAGCTTTGATTCCTCCCGTCCCCCTCCCCGCAGCTGCAGAGGGTCTGAGCTGACAGCAGCCGTGGGAAGAGCACGAAATCCCCAGGCAGCAGCTCCCCTGCTGCTACCCACCCCGATCCCCCAGGGAGCAGGAGCTAATAACACGGGGATTAATTAATTAAACAGCCCCATGGCCAGGACACGGTTCCACAACCCAGAACGCAGCCCCAGGGTCGGCTGCCGAAGCACCAGGGGCTGCCGAGCACCAAAAAGGGGCCGAGAACCGAAGGGCAGCACGGGAGCGAGGGCGTGGAGACGGAGGGAAGCGGGAGGGCGAAGGCAAACCCTAATCACCATGGGGTTGGAGTCCGAGATGAGGTCCTTGAGGGTGTCCAGGAAGCCCTGGTCCTCCACCAGCTGGGCGTTGATGTCGTGGAGCTTGGCCACGCAGACGGCCGCCGTCTTGCGCACGTAGGGGTCCTCGTCCTTCAGGCACTTGCGCAGGGGCTCGCAGAGGTACTCGGTGATCTTGTCCACGCGGATGCAGCCCATGGTGCGCACGGCCAGCGCCCGGATCAGCGGGTTCGGGTCCTCACAGTCCTGGGGGGACACATGGGGACGGTCAGACTCCCAGCTCCTGCGGCCACAACCCTTGATTCTCCTTCGGGTTCCCAAAACCTCGGGGTTTTAGTGCTCAGGCTGGGAGAGGAGGTGAAGTGAGGGTGCCTCCCGCAGGAGGGGGCTCATCTCCTTCCAAAAACCGGAGCACAACGGAGCTTTAACACCAAAACCGCTCCAAAGCTGCCCCAGGAACCATCCCACCGAGGTCCCAAACCCCGCAGAACAGCCACCAGCCCCGGCGCACACCCCGACGGGCAAACTGCTTTTTTTCCTTTCAAACCAAACCAACCCAAAAACCCACCCAACCCCAAACCCCCAGCAAACCCCCCCACCGCAGCAACCTCCCTCCCCATCTCCCAACCCCACCGCAACCTCTCCAAAACCATTTTCCCCCCTGTGCTCTGCGGGACCACGTCCCCCTCTCTCCCAGCGCGAGGCGAACCCCGATGACAACCGGGCCGCCCCGTAGGGAACCCCCCCTCACCTTGACGAAGGTGTTGACGGCCATAATGGCCATGTCGGGCTGGCTCTTGGCGTAGTTCATCAGGTAGAGGTAGACCAGCTTCTTCAGCTCCAGGTTGTCCGTCTGCATGCAGTTGACCACGTCCGGGAACAGCGCGCTGCAACGCAGGAGCCGCTTCGCCACCGAGCGCAGCGACCCCCCAGTGGGGAAAAGGGGGGAAAAGGGGGACACGGGGGGGTTAATGGGGTGTCCCCACACCGGGGGTGGTGTGACCCTGTTGTTCTGGGAGGGTGCGGCCGCCAGGTGAGGGTGGTTGAGGGGGTGGGTGAGTGGGGGGGTGGGGGGGAGGGTGTGAGGGATATGGGGGGACATGGGGGGACATGGGGGGATGGGGTGGGACAGGGAGGGATGGGGTGGGACATGGAGGGACACAGAGGGATGGGATGGGACACAATGGGATACGGTGGGACATGAGGGGACACAATGGGATGTGGTGGGACACAATGGGACACACTGGGACACGAGGGGACACAAGGGGACATGGTGGGACATGAGGGGACACGGTAGGGCACAAGGGGACACGGTGGGGCACAGAAGGACAGAATGGGACATGAAGGGACGAGGTGGGACAAAAAAGGGACATGATGGACATGGTGGGACATAAAGGGACATGGTAGGACGTGGTGGGACATGAAGGGACATGGTGGGATACGGAGGGACGTGGGGTGACACAGAGGGACGTGCTGGGGCACAGAGGGTCATGGGGTGGCACAAAGGGATATGGGGTGACACGGAGGGATATGGGGTGACACGATGGTGGCTGGCACTGGGGACCTCTAAGTCCCAGCCCAACCCCAGCAGCACCCCGCAGGAGCACCCCCAAGGCCCAGGCAGCTTTATGGGGCCGGGGGAGCGCCGGGAGCCGCTTGCTGCCCCCTCGGAGAGCCCCGAAAGGAGGGAATCCCACCCCAAAAGCCGACAGCGGGGCCGCGCACCTGACGTCCTTGCCGACGGTCATGGAGGCGATCACCTTCTTCACGGCCTCCTTCTTCTTCTCCTTCTTGTCGCTGTTGAGCTCGGCCTTCAGCTCGAAGATCTCCCCTGGGGCCGGGGGGGACGGGCGGGCGTGGGGACGGGCCCTGGGAGCCCCCCGAAACCCCTCAGGGCCGGCCCGGGCCCCCCCTCACCTTTCTTGGTGGTGGTGAAGTACTTGGAGTCCGTCATGGTGCCGCCGCGCCTGCTGCGGGGGGAAATTCACTGATTTGTGGGGTTTTTATCCCAAAAGCGCCCAGGGCCTGATCCAGATCTGGATCCTGATCCCTGTCCCGGTCCCAGTCCCAGTCCCAGCACCCAGGGGGGCTGCAGCTTTCCCCGGCCCCGATCAGCCCCAGTCGGTCCCAGTCCTGATCCAAGTACCAGTCCTAATCCTGATTCCAGTCCCAGTCCTAATCCTAATCCCAGTCCCAATCCTGGTCCTGATCCTGATCCCACCACCCTGGGGGGATGCAGCTCAGCCCCAGCCCTCATCAGCCCCAGTCGGACCCGGTTGGTCCCAGTCCCGGTCCCAGTCTCAGTCCCAATCCCAATCCTGGTCCCAGTCCTAATCCCAAACCCAATCCCAATCCGGATTCTGGTCCAGATCCAGATCCTGGTCCTGATCCCAGCACCCCAGGGAGCCACAGCTGGCCCCCAGCCCCAATCAGCCCCGGTCGGTCCAGTCCCAACCCCAATCCTGATCCCAGTCCCAGTCCCAATCCTAATCCCAAACCCAATCCCAATCCCGATCCAGATCCCGGTCCAGATCCGGATCCCGGTCCCGATCCCAGCACCCCGTGTGGCTGCAGCTGGCCCCCGGCCCGGATCGGCCCCGATCGGCCCCAGTCGGTCCCGGTCCCGACCCCAATCCCAATCCCGGTCCCAGTCCTAATCCCAATCCCAGTCCCAATCCGGATCCGGATCCGGATCTCGGTCCCGGTCCCACCCCGTGTGCCCGCAGCCCGCCCCCTGCCCCTCTCGGTCCCCTCCCGTCCCGGTCCCGGCCCCCCCCGCACCTGCCCCGTCCCCGTCCCCGTCCCCGGCCCGGTCCCGGTCCCGGCCCCGCCGCCCCCGGCCCCAGCGGAAGTGAGCGCGGGGCGGGAGCGGTTCCGGGGCGGGGGGCGGGGCCTGGGGACGGGGCGGGGGGGGGGACACGGGGAGGGGACGGGGGGGGCACGGGGGGGACAGGGTTGGGGACAGTGGGGACAGGACAGGGGGAGGGGGAGGGGACAGGGATGGGGTGTGGGGAGCTGGGGGGGGGACAGGGGACATGGGGAAGGGCACGGGGAGAGGAGGTGTGACAGGGAGGGGGGGGGAGGGCAGGGCTGTGTGTGTTGTCCCCCCCCCGGAGCCAACGTGTCCCCAAAAGGATCGGGGCCACCCCGCTGAGCCCCTGTGCTGAGATGGGGGTGGGGAGTGAGGGTTGTGGGGGGGGTTGTGGGGGGGTTATGGGGTGGGGGGGGGGGTTGTGGGGGGGTTATAGGGGCTGAGGGGGGGTTATGGGGGGTTATGGAGGGGTTATGGGGGGTTATGGGGGCTGGGGGGGTTATGGAGGGGTTATCAGGGTTATGGGGGGGTTATGGGGGTTGTAGAGTGTGGGAATGTTATGGGAGGTTAATGGGGGGGTTATGGGGTGTGGGGGGGTTATGGGGTGTTATGGGGGTGTGGAGGGTTATGGGGTGTGGAGGATTTATATAGGGGTTATGGGGGGTGGGGATGGGTTATGGGGGGTTATGGGGGATGTGGGAGGGTTATGGGGGAGTTATGGGGGGTTGATGGGGTGCGGGGATGTTACGGGGTTTTATGGGGTGGGGTGGGACTGCAGCATCCTGCCGCCGCCCAGCACTGCAGCGGCTCTGCCTGCCAACGCGCTGCTCGCTCAAACACCTCGCCTCCGTCCTGACACAGGGAAAAAAATGAGAAAAAAAAAAAAAAAAAAGGAAAAAAAATAAAAAAATAAACCAAAAGTGATGAGTAGGGAGAGCTCTGCAGGGCGCGCCTCAAGGTCAGCGCGTGCCATGCGCGTGGGGAACCCCGTCCCAGCATGCCCCGGGGCTGGGGGGCTGCAGCCCCTCCGTCCCCCCCCCCAGGGACCACTGCCAGGGCCGGGCGCTGCGGGCGTACTTTTTGGCTGGGCTGGGCCCGGCTGCTGATTGGCCGAGCTGCCGCTGTGCTGATTGGCCGGTGGTGTAGGTGACATGGCCACCGGGGGGGGCCGCAGGCGCTGGTTGGCTTGGGGGGGGCCTTGGTTGGGTGCAGGGCTGCTGGGGGGCGCCGTGCCCACGGCCCCTCGTGGGTCAAGGGGTCCCTGCGTGATGGGGGGGCAAGGGGTCAATGGGGTGGGTAGGTGGTCAACTGATTGGGTGGGTGGTCAACTGGTTGGGTAGGTGGTCACCTGGTTGGGTGGTCACCTGGTTGGGTAGGTGGTCAACTGGTTGGGTGGTCAAGTGGTTGGGTAGGTGGTCAGCTGTTTGGGGAGGTGGTCACCCCGTTGGGTAGGTGGTCACCCCGTTGGTTGGGTAGTCACCCCATTGGTTGGGTGGTCACCCCGTTGGGTAGGTGGTCAACCGGTTGGTTGGGTGGTCACCTGGTTGGGTAAGTGGTCACCCTGTTGGGTAGGTGGTCACCCCGTTGGTTGGGTGGTCACCTGTTTGGGTAGGTGGTCAACTGGTTGGGTAGGTGGTCACCCCATTGGTTAGGTGGTTACCCCGTTGTTTGGGTGGTCACCCCATTGGGTAGGTGGTCACCCCATTGGGTAGGTGGTCTCCCCGTTAGGTAGGTGGTCACCTGGTTGGGTAGGTGGTCACCCCGTTGGGTGGGTGGTCACCTGGTTGGGTAAGTGGTCACCTGGTTAGGTAGGTGGTCAACTGGTTGGCCAGGTGGTCAACTGGCCCGGTGAGCCACGAGAGCCAATTTCGGGTGCTCCACGCGCACTGCTTGGCCGCGTAGCTTACGGCTCCTCGTAGACCAAGTGCTCCACGTGTACTGGGTGGCCGGGTAGCCAACTGGTTGACACCACGAGGTGGCCCCATGGCTCCTCGCACTCTAAGAGGTCCACGCCTGCTGGTTGGGGGGGGGTCCTGGCCCGGTGGTCCATGGATGCCGATGGCTCCAGTGCTCCATGCGCTCTGATGGCCCAGGAGGGCTGCACGTGCAGCTCAGCTGGTGGCCCCGTGGGCTGACGGGCTGGTTGCCCCCCACCCTGGCGTCCCATCCTGGTCCCCCCCCCGCTCCCCCTGCCCTCCTGGGGACATTCCCACCTCCCCTCCACCCCGCAGTGACACTGGGGACCCGTTCCCAGGACCCGGGGGTCCCACTGCAGCACCGCTCCCCCAGCACATGGGGAGGGGGGGGGCTGCGAGTGGAGCCCCCCGGGGGTCTTCGCCCCCCACCCACACCACGGGGGTGCCTCCATGCGCCCCCCGGGGGCTCCCCTTGTCCTATCCCGGGGTCCCTCGCTTCCCCCCGGTGCCCCCCGCTCCATCCTTGTCGCTGTCCCCCGGCCCCCCCCATCCCCCGGGGGGCTGCGGCGGCTGCTCGGGGCGGTGCCGCTGCCGGTGCCCGGCCCCCTCCCGGTGCCGGCGGCGGGGCGGGGCGGCCCCGACGGCCCCCATAAAGCGGGAGGCGGCGGCGGCGGTGCCGCAGTGAGGGCGGGGGCCACCACCATGAGCCTGGTGCTGGAGGCGATGCTGGGCCCCCCGGGGGGGCTCCGCAAGGAGCCTGCCCGCTCCATGCCGCGCTCCGCCGCCTCCTCCTCCTTCTCCTTCTCCTCCAGCGGCTTCCACTCGTGGTCGGTCCCGGGGCGCTCGGGGATCGCGGCGCGGGGCGGTGGCGGCGGCGGGGGGGGCAGCGCCGCCGCTTCGTCGTCGGCCACCACCGAGAGCCTGGAGTCGCTGGAGGGGGGGGAGCCGAGAGCTCGCAGCGAGAAGGAGCTGCTGCAGGCGCTGAACGAGCGCTTCGCCGGTTACATCGAGCGGGTGCGGGCGCTGGAGCAGCGCAACCGGGCGCTGGCGGCCGAGGCGGCGGCGCTGCGGCAGCAGCAGGCGGGGCGCACGGCCATGGGCGAGCTGTACGCCCGGGAGCTGCGCGATATGCGGGGAGCCTTGGTGCGCCTGGGGGCCGAGAAGGGGCAGCTGAGGCTGGAGCGGTGCCGCCTGGCCGAGGACGTGGCCGCGCTGCGGGGCAGGCTGGAGGAAGAGGCTCGGCACCGCGCCGGGCTGGAGGCGGCGGCGAGGGGCTTGGAGCAGCGCTCGGCACGGGAGGAGCGCGCCCGGGGACCGCTGGAGGAGAGAGCCCGGGCGCTGCGGGAGGAGGCCGAGCTGCTGAGGAAGCAGCACCGGGCCGAGGTGGGCGCCCTGCTGCGGGAAGCCCCCGCCGAGCCCCCCCCCGCCTCGCTGCGCCCCGGTGTCACCGCCGCGCTCCGCGACCTGCGCGCACAGCTGGAGGGCACGGCGGCGCGCAGCACCCTGCAGGCCGAGGAGTGGTTCCGCGGTGAGCAAAAATCCCCCCAAATCCCCCCCAAAAAACCCTGTCCCCACCCCCCCCCCCCCACCGCATGCTGCGCGTTCGTGCTGCGCGCCCGGAGGGTGCCCCCACCCCGGGAGGGCGCAGGGGGCTCCCCCCAGATCTGAGCCGCAGCAGGGCGTTGCTCTAAGTCCCTCTGTCCCCCTCCAAGCTCCTTATCCCCCCCATGTCCTTGCCCCCCCCTCCCAGCCGTGTGCATGGCCCCCCGGGTGATTTTTGGGGAGGGTCCCCCCGTCCCCTCCCCGCCACCCCCAAGGTCGGGGCAGCCCCACGCCGCCCGCAGGAGCTGCGGGGAGGGGAGGGGGCTGGTGCCGCATCCCCTGCGTGGGGGGGGGAGGACGAGGACGGCGGGGGGGGCCCGCAGGGTGTGTCCCCACTGCGCTGCGGGGCTCGGCACCCATGGGTGCGCCGGGAGCTGGGCTCAGCACCGCGGACAGCGGCCCCTCGGCACCGCGGACAGCACCCAGGGGTGCGGTGTCCCGCGGGGTGCGGGGGGGGGGGCTGCGGGCTCCGGCTCTCCCCATCCCCAGGAGGGAAATGGGGGGGGGGGGGGCTCTGCGGCACGCCCCTCCCCAGTTCTGCCCTCCCCAGCAGTGCGTCTGGCCGCAGCCCAGCGTGGCGAGGTGGTGCCCGGGGGGGTGTGGGGGGGGGTCCGTGGGGCTGCGGCAGGAGCTCAGGGGAATATGGGGGGGGGGGCGCTGGAAAAAGGCCAGGGTGGAGAAAATTCCTGCCCAGGCGCCCCCACCCTCCTGGGCACCACCAGAGGGGGGGCTGGAGAAGGGGGGCTGGTCCCGCAGAGGATATTTTGGGGGATTTAAAGGATTTTCAGCCTTTCAAGGGTTTGAGGCTCCCCCCCCCCCGCAGCTCGCCCTCTCTTTTCCCCGCCGCAGTGAGGCTGGACAAGCTGTCGGAGGTGGCCAAGGTGAACACGGACGCCATCCGCCTGGCCCAGGAGGAGATCTCCGAGTACCGCCGCCAGCTGCAGTCCAAGACCACCGAGCTCGAGGCCCTCAAAGGGACGCAGGAGTCGCTGGAGAGGCAGCGGCAGGACTCGGAGGAGCGGCACCATGCCGATGTCCTGTCCTACCAGGTAACCCCTCCGCTGGGGGCTGGGGGGCTCCCATCACCAAGCCACTGAAGGGGTGGTGGCTGTGGACTGAGGCATTGTCCCCAGGGTGATGCCGCAGCCTTGGGGTGCGGTTTGGTGGCCCCCAGATTCACCCAAATCCTAAAAACACCACCCCTGCCCTCGGGAGCTCTCAGCAGAGGTGGCACAAGGCTCTGGGGCTCCCCCAGGGACAATCTGGAAGCCCCTGTGCTCGTCCCCTTCCCGCTGCGTCCACCCCTCCGTGGGGGCACCCCGGTGCTGGGTGGGCAGCACCCCCCATCCCTAAAAGCCTGGGGGTGGTTTTGGGGTGCTGCTGCCCCCCCTGCCCGGCCCCAGCCTCTCCGTGTGCGGCAGGAAACCATCCAGCAGCTTGACAGCGAGCTGAGGAACACCAAGTGGGAGATGGCAGCCCAGCTCCGCGAGTACCAGGACCTGCTCAACGTCAAGATGGCACTGGACATCGAAATCGCTGCCTACAGGTACGGGGGCAGCAAGGGGAATGGGGGGGCCTGGCTGTCCCCCGGGGCTGGGCTCTCCAAGGGCACCTCCTGGGGACACTTCTTGGTGAGGGGGGGACACTGCTGTCCTCCAGGACCGCCTCCCAGGTGACCCAGGGGGGGTGGGAGGCAGCTGCTGACAGCCCCCCGCTGGTGTCCTCCCGGCAGAAAGCTCCTGGAAGGGGAGGAATATCGGATCGAGTCCGGTTTCGGGATGATCTCCTACCCCGAGGTGGTCCCCAAAGTTCCCGGCATCGCCGCCAACATCAAGGTGAAGAGCGAGGAGAAAATCAAGGTGGTGGAGAAGTCCGAGAAGGAGACGGTGATTGTGGAGGAGCAGACGGAGGAGATCCAAGTGACCGAGGAGGTGACGGAGGAGGAGGAGGCTGAGAAAGAGGCCAGAGAGGAGGAAGCTGAGGAAGAAGAAGAGGAGAAAGCTGAAGCAGAGGGTGAAGAAGAAGCCAAGTCTCCTGCAAGGGAGGAGGCCAAATCCCCAGCTGTGAAGTCCCCAGAGAAACCCGAGTCCCCTACAAAGGAGGAGGCCAAATCCCCAGCTGTGAAGTCCCCTGAAAAAGTCCCAACGCCCTCCAAGGAGGAGGCCAAGTCCCCCGCGGTCAAGTCCCCAGAAAAGCCACCGACCCCCGCGAAGGAGGAGGCCAAGAGCCCAGCGGTGAAGTCCCCGGAGAAACCCACGCCCCCCACAAAAGAGGAGGCCAAGTCCCCAGCTGTCAAATCCCCAGAGAAACCTGCAACCCCCTCCAAGGAGGAGGCCAAGACCCCAACTGTGAAATCTCCAGAGAAGCCCCCAACGCCTGCAAAAGCAGAGGCCAAGTCCCCAGCTGTGAAGTCCCCAGAGAAGCCACCAACACCCTCCAAGGAGGAGGCCAAGTCCCCAGCGGTCAAGTCTCCAGAAAAGCCACCGACCCCCGCAAAGGAGGAGGCCAAGAGCCCAGCCGTGAAGTCCCCTGAGAAACCGGCGACCCCCTCCAAAGAGGAGGCCAAGTCCCCAGCGGTGAAATCCCCAGAAAAACCCGCAACCCCCGCCAAAGAAGAGGCCAAGACCCCAACTGTGAAGTCCCCGGAGAAGCCCCCAACGCCCTCCAAAGAAGAGGCCAAGTCCCCAGCTGTGAAATCCCCGGAGAAACCTGCAACCCCCTCCAAGGAGGAGGCCAAGAGCCCAGCCGTGAAGTCCCCAGAAAAACCTGCGACCCCCTCCAAGGAGGAGGCCAAGTCCCCAGCGGTGAAGTCTCCCGAAAAACCCCCAACGCCCCCCAAGGAGGAGGCCAAGGCCCCGGCCGTGAAGTCCCCAGAGCAACCCAAACCTCCCGTGAAGGAGGAGGCCAAGTCTCCGCAGAAGGAGCCCAAAGCCCCCCCGAAGGAGGAGCAGGCTGCCCCCAAGGCGGAGGAGAAGCCCAAAGAGAAGGCTGGGCCAGAGCCTCCGGCCCCAAAGGTGAAGGAGAGCGCCAAGGCCGGCCCCAAACCCGCGGAGGAAGGGAAAGGAGAGGGAAAACCTCCCCAGGAGCCCGGCAAAGCGGCCGTGAAGGAGGCGGAGAAGCCAAAAGCCAAGGAGAAGGCAGAGGAACCAAAGAAAGCAGCGGAGGAACCAAAGAAGGAGAAGGTGGAGGAACCCAAGAAGGCTGAGGAACCCAAAGCCAAACCCAAAGAGGAGCCCCCCAAGGCCGAGAAGCCCCCCGGCACGGACACCAAAGCCCCGGAGCCGGTGCCCGCTGCGGAGAAGAAGAAGTGAGGGGAGCCCCCCCGGCCCCGAGGCAGCACCCCTGGGTGCAGGAGCTGCGAAGGGCGAGACGGGGAGGGACCCCATGAGGGCCCCCCCCCCCTTGGCCAGGCCTTACCTTAGCAATATGTTCGTGAGAGACACAGCCCCTCGCCGCCCCCCCCCTCCCGTGGTATGTTATGATCGCTTCCCCAGCAGAACGCCACGTGCACAGCGCCACATTTAACACTTGAATTAGGAGGAGGAGGAGGAGAGCAGCCCCCCTACCCCCCCGGGGGGGTCCGACCACCCTCTTCCCATAAGTGCATTTATGACAGCGAGGGCCACGCGCCCCGCAGAGCTCCAGCTGCAGGGGGGGAGGAACTCGAGCCCACTGTCAGTTGCTTGATGTGCAATAACCAAATAATAAAGTGCTTACAGAGACTCCTCGGCTCCTGCTGGCGTTGTTTGGTGGGGGGGGGGCAGGAGGTGGGGGGAGGGAGTGCAGGGTTGGATTGTCAGCTGGGGTGGCCGGGGTGGCACAGGGCTTTCTGAGGTGGGTGGCAGCAAGGACAGGTCCTGCACCTCCCCAGTTTTCCTTGGGGAAGAGCCCAGCACATCCTGGGGGTGCCTGCACGATGCCCAGGGGCTGGAAGCAGGGCCAGAACCCATCGCACTCCAAAAACGGGATTTTTTTTTTTGTCCTTTTCTTCTGAAATCTCAGCTCCCCGGGGGTGGGGAGGGCCTGGTTTAACCTGAGCGCTGCCCTGCACTGCAGCACCGCGCCTGCTGGGGAGGGGAGGCAGGGCTAGGAGCCTTCAGGGGGGGTGATTTGGCCAAAAAATGGCCCTGTTGGAGAAACAGGAGGGGACCTCGGGTCAGGGAGGGAGCCTCAGGGCTGTGAGGGTTGTGGGATGGGACCCCCGTGGGGAGCTGTGAGGGATGGAGGGGGACAGGGCGCAGCCCGGAGCTCCCCTCCTGCTCGGGGTTGGTGCTGAATCAGCTGGCAGGCAGCCGGCAGGGCCGGGGCTGCAGTGCGGAAGCAGGAAGGGGCTATTTTTATCCATCTCCACTCCCTGCTACACACATCTGCGGCGGGGAGGCAGGGAAGGAGGCAGAGCCCCAGGCAGAGGGGCTGGGGGGGGGACACAGACCTGCCAGGGACAAGGCAGCCGGGACAGGATTACCCCCAGGTCCCCCCCCCAGCCCCAGCCAGCACAAACACACATCACTTTCCTTATTTCAGCATTTAATCCTTTCGGCTACAAAACAAGACCCAAAAACCTCAGGAAAAAAAAAAAAAAAGGAAAAAGCAGGGTGGGGACGCTCCAGGGTGAGTCCTGGTCCTGCAGAGCACAGCGGGGGCTCAGCGGTGGCTGAAGAAGCCCTGCGGGAAGTTGAACTTGAAGGGCTTCAAGCGCATGGGGCCCCTGCCAGAGGAGAAAAAGGAGAGGTTGGCTCACCCCTGTCTGCTTCCAGGCAGGTGTGGGGGGAAATGTGAGCTCAGAGACCTGCTGCACGTCCCAGGAGTAGGGGACAACCCCAGCAGGGCACGGGGCCCTCACCTGACCAGGCGCAGACACATTTTCTCCTGGGGAAACTCCTTGGGCCCCTCCACGCTGGTGTCGTGGGGCTCGGTCTCCAGGTAGACGTCCAGCACCATGCAGAGGCGCTGCAGCTGGTTGGTGAGGAGCTGGTAGCCGGGTTTGGGCCCCCACAGCTCCTTGTAGCACACGTTGACCTCGCTCTCCATCGCCTGGCAGAGGCGCAGGGAGCAGCAGGGCCTGAGTTCGGTGTCCTGCTGCTCCCAGCCCCCAACCTGCCCCCGGGGCTCCCTCCCCAAGGGCGCAGAACCACCAGGAACACCCCCAGCAGCTCTCCAGTTTCCCCCCCCTCTGCCCCTGCTCACCCGAATGTTGTCGTCGTTGTTGCCGGTTCGCTCTCCTTTCCAGTTGAGGCAGAGGCTGAAGATGGGTGGCAACGCGGAGTAGCCGGGGTTCAGGACCACAGCGGCCTGGAGCTTGGCTGAGCAGGGCAGAAACGTCACCCCACAGCCCGCGGGGCCCCCCCTGGTGCAGGGGCAATCAGGGCAGCTAATAATTAGGTGTTTCTGGGGGAGGGAAGGGCCCACCTGTGCCCCTTTCTATCAGGGCCATGTAATAGAGGTGCGTGTCCTCGGCCAGGCCGGCCTCCACCACATCTTTAGTGTAGGGCAGCTCCTGGGGGGGAGGCAAAGGGGGGAGTGAGGGGCTGCTGGAGGAGCTGGGGGGGTCGCAGGCCTCCATGTGGTGCCTACCGCGTAGTCCTCGAAGGGGATGGCGCTCCACTTCACCAGGCGCGAGACGATCTTGGTGGGGAAGAGATGCTGGCACTCGCTGGAGACCGGCACCACGCCGTGCTCTGCAAGCAAAGACAAGGACGAGGCTGAGCGGGGCAGGGGACAGCAGAACAGGGGGCTGGGGACAGCCCCTAAAACTTCTGGCACCTCCATCAGGCGCCCGGAGAGCAGCAGCAGCCTGGGCTGCGACCCTGCTGGTGCTCACAGCCTGCTCGAGGGGCACTTGGCACACTTGGGAACGCGGTTCTTGTGCTGCCAGGGCCTGAATTCACCCCCAATCCAGGGGTTTGGGGCTGGGCACTCACCCAGAGAGGCAAACTGCTTGTGCAGGGCCAGGCGGGACTGCAGCCTCGTCCGCAGCAGCTTCACCGTCAGCTCCATGTGGCTGGCACTCAGCGAGTTGTCGGCGGTGACCGTGTGCTGGGGGACGAGGGGACGTCACACCAGGGCTGCTCCGTGGCTGGGACTGGTGCCAGCCGGAGCCCCGGGCTCTCAGGGGGGCAGGACGGGATGCAACCGTCCCCAGATCGTCCCCGGAGCCCCGCCAGCTCGGTTTGGGATCCTGTTAAATAGGGGAGGGAAGGGGCGAGACGTGCCTGAGGCTGCTCCTTGGGGAAGTGCAGGCCGCCCAGCTTCTGCACCCACACGTAGGGGTGCCCCAGCTCCGTCACGTAGTCACTCAAGGTGACGATGCTGCAGGGAGGAGGAGGAGGAGGAGGAGGAAGGGTCAGGCCACCCCACAGAGCTTCCTCCCCTGCAGGGAGCGGGCTCCTCCTTCCTCCAGCCCGAGCCCAGGGCTGCAGGCAGCCCCCTCACCCCACTTTGTCGAACTGGAACTGGTTGGCGGGGTTGGGGGTCTTCTTCCCGTGGTCTCCCGGGTACAGGCAGCTCAGGAGGGAGTCCGGGGACAGCAGGTCGCTGGCAGGAGGGAAGAGGAGGATCACACAGCAGCACGGCCCCGCGTCTCCCCGGGGCACCCGCTAACAGGCTGTGACAAGCCCCATGGGCTGGGTTTGGAGACCACAGCAGCTTTCCCCCAGTTCCACTGCGGAATATCTCCCAAGGAGATCTCCTCCTGGATGTAGAGGAGCTAAAAATCCCCAGGGAGCTGCTCAAAGGCACCCCAGCGTGTTAACTCTGAAACCTACTGACAACCACCTGCACAGGAACCCCGTGGCACAGCCTGGGGGAGCTCAACCAGGGGCGTCCCTGCCACCAGGAGCCTCCCCTAAGCAAGGGACCCCGAGGGACACTGCCTTTGGGGGTGTCACCTGGGGCTAGGGGGGCTCCTTGACAAGATTTGTCTCAGCAGGAAGGCCAGCCTGCCTGGTTTGGGCCCCTACAGGGAAAAGGGAACCCAGGAGGACTGGGAGGCCTCGTGGGGACAGCACCTGCTTACGGGGGGGTCCCAGGCCAGCCTCTGCAGCCCCCCTCTTCCTCAGGCACCTCCTCCTGGCCCGGGAGAGCTCACAGCTGATCTGAGCTCCCCGGGCGGGCTCCCACAGCTGCCACCTCAGCCAGTCCTCACACAAATCGGGCTCAAGCGGTCCCCGGGGAGCCCACGGGGAGGCAGCTGCATGGGACAAGGTGACCCGCGGAGCAGGCAGGAGGGGGGAGCTGCCAGGCAGAGGCTGCAGGAGGGAGGAGAGCAGTTTGGCTGCAGGGCGGTGACCGCACGTGGAGGAGGAGAGGTTCCCCACGGGCACTGCTCTCCCGAGTGGCTCCCAACCTGCTCTGCCTCTGATTCAGTCCAGGATGTGGCAGAGGGAGGGAAGGAAGGAGGGAGGGAGGGAAGGAGGATGCTGCCTGGAGCTGCAGCAGCCTGGCAGGGCTCCCACAGCAGCCCTGCAGCTACCGGGGAGGGCACGGCGGGGGGGGCAGCAGAGATCTGGGAGGTGGAAGCGCTCCTCAGGTGCAGAGGGGCAGCCGTGCCCCTGGGGGCCTCCCTCAGCTGTTAAAGGACAAACCGGGACAGGACGTGGGCACTGCAGCTCTGCATAGCTCAAATAAAACCTCACCCACAGCCCCACGTCACCCGTGGGGGAGCTGGGAGGGCTCTCACAGCCCCCAATTCGGCTGAGGGACCACGTGGCACCCCTCACGCCGTGTCACCCCGCTGTGGGACACCCGGGCAGGGTGCTGGTGACAATCTCTCACCCAGCGCTGATGGCAGTCGTCATCTCGACGGCAGTGGTCACCTTGGCCTTCACCGTCATGACGTTGAGGTTCATCAGGTAGTAGAAGGTCAGGTGCAGCACGTTGTCAGTCTGTGCCAACAAAGAAGGGAAACTGCTTTGTGCTCCGTCCCGGAGCGCACAGGACTCGGAGCGCCCTGCAGGGACACGGGATGGAGGGGAACGGGGCAGCAAGCGGCGTGCCCTGACCCCCAACGCCCCCACCAGCACTCATCAGAGCCCCAAGAGCACATCACAAAGGAGAAAAGCTCCTAAGAAGAGGGATGAGGCTTCAGAGAGCGTGGGCATCCCACCCGCGTGGGCAAGGGGAGTGCAGGGAGAGCTCAGTGCCTCTGTTCGGCCCCTGCTCATCCCTGGGCCATGGGGCTGAGGGCAGGGACAGTGCCCCCACCCTGCTCTCGTTGCCATAAAGGCTCCCTGACCCCAATGCCCCCCTCCTCCGTGCTGAGGGCCCCCCACCCTCGCCTACCTTTACACTTGATGTCGATGGTGACGCACAGCGGGTGCCGCTTCAGCATCTCCTTGCGCTTGTCGTCCAGCTGCACGCCCAGCGTGGGCCGGCGCCGCTTCTGGGGAGGGGAACAGAAGCTGTGGGCCCCATCCCACAGCCCCTCAGGAGCTCTGGACCCCTCCTGCCCTCTCCTTCCCTTCCCACCTCCCCAAATCCCTGCCTGGTGCTGATGTTTTGGGCAGGTGGGGAGGCCCGGGGGCTATTTATACAAAGTGGGGCAGCTCCTGCAGGAGAGCAGGGCACAGGCTGCTGCAGGCAGGATGCGAGCGAGGAGAGGTGTGAGCACAGCAGCTCTGCCCCCCTCGTTGTGCCGTGCTCAGGGCAGACACCAGAAGGCAGCCTCGCCCCCCCGAGGGGCACCCAGGGGTGCCCAGCTCTCCCCCCCTGCCCTGGGATCACCGTGCCTTACCGTGGTCTGCTCCTCCTCCACGTCCGAGTCGCTCTCGTCATCTGCCCAGAGAGAGGAGAAGGGGGTGAACGCGGTGCCGAGGGGCTCTGCCCACACCCAGCTCTTCCATCTGACACCGCTGCTGCCCCCAAATATCATCGTCCCCCCCTCGCAAGCCAAACGGATGCACTGCAAGAGGGGGGAGCACCAGGAGCTTCCGGGAAGGAGCTGGGCACAGCTGCTCACCCTGCGAGTCCTCGGGCGGCTTGTACAGGGCTTTGGCTTCCTCCACGCTGCCTTCGATAGCCACCACGAGCTTCTTGTCTGCACGGGGACACAGAAACCACGTCACCAACCCGATTCCGGCGGGGACAGGCAGTTAGCAAGAGCTTTGGAGCAGGGTGGTAAGATGGGAGCCTGGGGGGGGCTACAGCCTGCAGGAGCACGACCCCGTGCAGCGTTTAGGGAGCCTGCAGAAGGAAATCCTGGCTGCAGCTGGTTTTGGAAGGAGCTCACCCCTTTCCCTGAGGTTTCTTTGATGTTTTGATGCTGACTGCTAGAGCGTATGTTTTGAAGTGTTCAAAGCCTGAAGTGCACGAGGGGACAAGTTTTACTATCAATCATCTGAAAGTATTTCAGCACTGAAGCGGAAGGGGAGGCTGTTAGCTGTCTTGCCTCTGACTTCTGCCCTTGCACTTCAGCCTCTTTCTAGAGGTAAACAGTGAACGGTCACGTTGGTTTGTTTGTAGCAGTCTACCAGGTTTATTCTTCCTCTTGCCATCAGGCCAGGCTCCATAGGATGACTTCACCTTTTTAAGTGGTTTGCAATGGTGCATATGGCTTCTAATTGCCTTACTGCCCAGCGTGAGCCAATTCTGCAGCCTAATGCACACGTGGCGGTGCGCTGGCTTATCTTCCCGTCTTCTTAATGCCTTTGTCTTCCAGCTACTCCTCCACGCAGCCAAGCAGTTACGATCAGAGCACTTACTCCCAGCAGAGCACCTACGGGCAACAGAGCACCTACGGCCAGCAGACTAGCTATGGCCAGCAGAGCAGCTACGGGCAGCAGCCGCCCCCAACGAGTTACCCGCCCCAGACGGGATCCTACAGCCAGGCCCCAAGCCAGTACAGCCAGCAGAGCAGCAGTTACGGCCAGCAGAGTGAGTGTGCTTAGCAGAGCTGTGGGATTGGTGAGGGAGGGTCGGTCTCCATCGCCCTTGCAGGGTGAGCTGTCTCTGAGGGAGGCTTTGAGTAGCTTTATTTGGGTCTGAAGGATCTGAGCATGAGGCTGTGCTGAAGGGAGCATACTGTAGCTGGTTTTTGCCCTCGCTCACTGACCGACAGCTTGCCTAGCTCATTAGACAATTATGATGCTCCCCTCGGTGTGGAGAAGGTGGGCAGATGGTTGAAAAACACAGAAATGAGAAATACAACTTGATACAAACAACTTGATGACCGTTGTGCAAAGGCATGGTGGTAGGGCCTGCCTTAAAACCCCATTCCCCAAGTGGCACATAGCTCCTTAAGTGCTGTAGCAAACAACTTTCATGTGATACTGTCCCTTCTGGTGCTGAAGGTATGGAGAAAGGCTTTAAAAGGGGACAGGACCCACTCTTGTCTGCAGCTCTCTGATGTTTTTGTTACAAACTTCCTCAGGCTCGTTCCGTCAGGACCATCCTAGCAGCATGAACGTATACGGACAGGAATCCGGAGGCTTTTCAGGCCCAGGAGAGAACCGGAATATGAGCGGCCCTGATAACGGGGCAGGGGAAGAGGGGGATATGATCGTGGAGGCATGAGCAGAGGTGGGCGGGGAGGAGGACGCGGTGGAATGGGGTAAGAGCAAATCTTTTCTCCTTTTATCTAATTCTGTTTCACCCCTAGGATTTGAAATGGAAAGAAGGGACTGAAAGGTTGACATTCCCAGCTGTGCTTCCATGGAGAGCATCTCTGTAGCAGCATTGCTTTATTCCATGGAAATGTTATCTGAGGGGGAATAGGAGCAGGATGTATGTTTTTTTCTGTCCTGCAGCTGGTTGGGCTCGGGGGAACTAGGGGTATTGCTAAACCTGCAACTTTCAGCTCCCTTCGTGGTCGTGCAGAGGTGAAATCCTCTGTGGGGCTTAACAGTAACTTTGGGTTGAACACACACAAACCTCCGCCAGGTCCAGGAGTCAATTCCTGTGCCTCACTCGCTAGTGGGGACTTTGAGAGTTCAGGTATGTACAAGGCAGAAGCCTGGTGTCAGCCTCTTCGCCTTAGCGGTAGCATGCCGAGCTGCGTCTGTACGTGTATGTGTGGGGCTGATTGCTGCTGGCGAAGCCGTGACTCCGAGTGGCCAGAACGCTTGGAGCTTGGCTGGAGCGTGAAGAAAAAAACCCCCGAGGCCGTATAAAGCTCTGGCTTGACTTCCGGGACTGCTCCCCGTTGGAGCTTTCAGGTGCTCTAAATCAGTTTGGCCATTTTAACTGATGGCAAAACCTGGTTTGGTAAACCTGTGTCTGCAGGTCAGCAGGTCGTCTCCCTGCCCGTGCTGTTTGTTTGGATAGAGGCGAGGAAGGAGGACTGGTCCCAAAGGCGAGGAAGAGGAGGAAGATGTAGCTTTGTGTGTGTTCCATCCCTTCGCACCTTAGCTCAGAGCTATGCAGAGCGTCCATAGATGCTTGCTGGAGATGTGGCACGGGATGCAAAGCGCTGGCCCTCGTATTTTGGCAGGGCAGGTAGAACTGCAGCTCCTCGCTGGTAGGCAATCTCTTGAGCTGCTTGAGTGCCTGGTGGCAACCGGAGCTCGGCAAGCTACAGTCCCACTCTGCATAGCTCTGTCGAAGTGAATTGAAGTGGCGTGAAATCTTTATCAGAGAAACGCAACCACCAACGCGTGGAAACAGAAGAAAAAAGCCTTGCTCATGTTGGGACACATCTGGCTTGAATTGGCTCGAGTGGAGTAGAGTTCCACGGTTCTGCATAAAGATTTCACCCATGATGTATTTATTTCTCTAATGGTTTAAAGTAGATGTAGACACTTGAAATGTCTGTCATCACATCTTAAAATTTCTAGCCCCTCTGGAGTTTCTCGTGCCAAAGATGTATCATTTATCTCTAATTCCACGCCGTAATCCCAGCATAAATTACGTATTTAGCGATTTCCACCTGACTAGACCATAAAAGAGGGCCCCTGCTCTATGGACGCAGACTTTCTGCTGTCCATGGAAAAGGTGGCCTTCTATGAGCACCCAGGGGCAGGTAGGGGAACTCGGCCCTTCTTATTATGCTGTGGTGATGGATTTCAGTGTCTCCAGCAGGTAAGGAGCTCGATGTTATTAACGTGCCCTTTTTCATTGACTCGATTATTTTATATTTTCATTGGCTGTTAAACATGGAAACTTTTTAACATGCTTTGTCGCATTTATATGCTACAGGTTACAAAGTGAGAGCCTTGTATACACTTCAATACTTAAAAAGTACCCGTACTCAGTACTCAGCCGGCAGCATAATGAAAAGTGGGACTAGACACGGTGTCCATATGGAGAGGAAAAATATACATAGAATATTTTTAACCAAATGTATTCATTGTATAAATGGAATCCTTCTGTAACTTTGGTAACTGAATACTTGTTGTTTGGTAATAAAACCAGAGGAGGTATACTACTTAAGAATTGTGTAACGTTAAAAAAAAAAAGTGTAAACGTATATGTTTAAAAAGAGAGACATTACGTAAATGGTGTGTACTTTAACAAAAGGAGGCAAAGCTGCATGCAACAGCTTGAAACTGTGTATTGACAACTTTTTTTTTCCAGTATTAGAGGTGCAATACTTGCTAGAAAGCTAGTGGTGCTCTCCCTCCTCTGCTCGTCTCCTTCAAAACAGCTTTTGTCTTGCCAAAAAGAGAAAGAAATGACAAAAATCCTTTTCAGGTGGCATTTTCCTAATTAACCAGCACTTGAAAGCAGTCCTAAAGCGAAAGCTTCAGCCAAAGCTTTCGATGAAAGCTGCGGCCGTGAGTTTGCATTGGCGCGTGCCAAAATCTTCGGTCCCGGTCTGTGTCCACAAAGCTGCACCCCAGGCCTTCGAGCCCTCGCTGTATTCTGTAAGTTCTCCTTCCACAGAGACTTGTTAAATTCAGTAGCGACCTGAATGTATGGCTTTATACCGAGGTTTTAGCGGAAATGTCATCTGAACTGTGTTGTAGGCATCGCGTATGGTTGTCTCCTACCTTTTAACTGTTAATGTCAGGGACCTGCGGGCTCGTTTCGCGCTCGTGCTGCGAGAGGCTGAGGGTGCACCTTTATGTACACACAGAGGGGAGGGAGTTGACCAGCGAACGACCCAGTGATTTTTTTTTTTTGGAATAAAGCACAATTTGATTAACGCCCGAAAACATTTTTTGCCAAGTATTGCACTGATAATACCGCTACTACAAGTAAATGGAAGGGTACCGACAGCAAAGTGGTGTCTAAAACCAGACAAGCGAGGTTGTGTATGTAAAGGAAATTTGAGCAAGCTGCCCTGAAGAAAGGCATAGTGACAAGATGAGAGAGAGAGAGACAGATGCATTGTTTGGAGATGTTTAGCCAGTGCCCTTCTTCCCAGTGAGCCGCAGAGGCTCAGAGCGGTACTGGCTTTGTAAAGGGAAAGGCCTTCATTTCTTCGTTTATCCCCCCAGCAGCGCTGGAGAGCGAGGTGGCTTCAATAAGCCTGGTGGTAAGTTTTTGAGCATTACAATGGATAGTGTTAAAAAAAAAAAAAAAAATTGCAGTCAGTTTTTAGAAAAAGTGTAATTTTTATTAGTTTAAGTGGTTAAAATGACATGTGCAACAAGACTGTAATGGGTACTGCCGGCAATGCCTAGGGGTATGCGGTTACAGGACACAGGGTAACTCGGAAGAATTGAGAAACCACTTCTGTAATTTGGGGAAAATAAATGGTTTGGATTTGATAAATTTTTTTCTTTAAAAGTAACTTTTTATTAATGAACTTAAAACCGATTGGCCTGGTAAAGCATTTAAAAAAAAAAAAAAGCGTAATAGTGGTTAATGGTTTGAAAGGCTGCTAAAACTAGCGAACCGATCGCCAAGTAAAGGTGCATTGCTGACGTTTTTGCAATGCGGGTCAAGTTGAGTTTAACCAACGCCATCGAATGGTGGTTATAAGTAGATAGTATTGTGTGTGTCGGTCCTTCAGCCCGCAAGGCGTGCACTAACACAGCTTCTTATGATTCTCTCCTGACTGGCAGGACACATGGAAGAAGGACCGGACCTTGACTTAGGTAATTGCAAATAACTGCTCGCAATCCCTCCCGGGCTCGTGAAATTGTGATTTCTGTGCTCGTCCTCTGCTCGGGACGAGGGCTGGAGCCGTGGAAGACGTTACCCCGTGTCTCGCCCTTCTGTAGAAGGAGCATGAGGATGCTCTGCACTTGCAGTCCCTTTGTGGCCAGTTCATTCATTCCTTTATTCCTGACTCATGAGATCGTGGACTGGTGGAAAACCACAGGTGTTTGTGAGAGGCTTACGCTTCTCCGTGGGAACCAGGGACTGTTTGAGGAGCTGCTCTGTAGCTGCTCTGTGCAGCAGAAAGCACAATTCAGCCTGGGGTCCTCAGAGGTCTCCCGTTACCCCCAAGTGGCCTAACCGTGCCGTTTGCTTTGTGCTGGGAGGGTCTGGGTGTCTCTGTCTGTCTGCAGGGAGCACAGGAGGCAGCCAGCACCTTCAGAGCGGAGCTGCCTCCCTGCCCTTAGCAGCTGGTGCAGGGTCACTGCTCTCAGTGCCTGCATTCCCACATCATTTGGGGTAAACGCCCCCATTGAAAGAGGAGCCACAGCTGGCCAAGGGGCTGATGTGGCCCGAGGGCTCCGTGCTGCCGAACCGCTGCCTCTCCTCACCCAGTGACGCTGTGAATTGTCTCCTAGGCCCACCCATGGACCCAGACGAGGACTCAGACAACAGCTCGGTGTATGTGCAGGGACTCAATGATAATGTGACCCTGGAGGATCTGGCAGACTTCTTCAAACAGTGCGGGGTCGTCAAGGTGAGAGGAACCCATGTGCGCAGTTCAGCTCCTGCCCACCTCCAGCAGATAGAGCACGGGGAAGGGGACTGGGTATGCCCACCCCTCCCTGCCAAGCGTGTCACTTGTCCCCACCAGCAGCTGGCCACATCTGCCTGGGCAATAAGCTCACCGCGTTCTGGGGCTGCCTTGTAGCTCCAGCTTTCCCAAAGAGCCTCTGCAGGATTTGTCCCTCAGCATCTCCATGAGATGTGTGCAAGCAGCAGCGCTTACAGTCCTGCGGGAAGGAAGCGTGGCTGTGGATCTGCTGGTGGGATGTGACAGCTTGAGGGATCGGGGTGGGGGAGGATGTGGAGAGGCTGCAGCTCAGTCCTTGCAGCAGCAGGTGCTTGCGGGAGAGGCTGCTGGGCCAGGCAGTGCTGTCGGGGGCCAGTTCCTCATTTGTTTGCCTATCTGGGGAGGAGCTGTCACACGCAGTAAGCCAGAGGGCCCTTTTTTCTGCCATGGGGGCAGAAAGAACCTCTAAGAGAGGCTCACCTAGGAAGCCCGTTGTCTCAAATGGAGGCGGAACAGAGAAGAGAATCCCCGCTCAGCACACAGGGCTGTGTGACTGGCGATGATGTTTTGGTGTCCTGCTAGATGAACAAGAGGACCGGGCAGCCTATGATACACCTCTACATCGACAAAGAAACCGGCAAGCCAAAAGGAGATGCCACGGTGTCGTACGATGACCCATCTACTGCCAAAACAGCTGTCGAATGGTTTGATGGTGAGTATGTGGGTTGCGTTTTGGGATGGGTTTGCC